TGCATCACAATGCTTAGACTTTGTCTTTTGGACAACATGAAAAGTAAAAGTTAATCCTTCTACAAGTCTGTAAATATATAAAAAAATAAACTGAATTCAAATTGTTTTTGGTGCTCAATTACACATTTAATGACTAATATGATCATTCATTCCACAAATAAGATTAGAGCACCCATTCATGTTAGATACGGTGTTAGACACAGGATAAAAATTAGTAGACTCTAAAATTTGTGTGATTTCCTCCCCTATGTGTAGACCTACACGACATTCTTAAGTTTTAACAAGTACATGCTCTGCAGGAAATGTATCTTTTCCTTCAGATAATTCGCTGTTCTCTCTGGACTTCTATATTGTCCCCTGATGGTTTGTGTATATGCTCTTAATGCATGCTGAGTGTAATGGAAAACTCAAAATTTAGCAGATCCACGTTTCAACACCTTTTCCATTGCTTTCCAACTTTTTGACTTAGGCTAGTTAATTTATGTTTCTGCAGTTTAGGTCCCTCAACAGATGATGTAAATAAGGCCAATTCCACAGGACCGACTTTAGGACTACAATAAATAATGTAAATGAATTCTGAACTCTATTCCTGGGCCATAGTCTACACTCATAATGACATAGGGGAATGAAACTCTTGATCTACTACGTCTGCGAGTTCCTGTTCTCTAAAATTGAAAAATAAATTTTAGAAACAACAATGATTAAGAGCAGAATATATTTATTGAGAGAAAGAAAGCTTCTGTCTGAGAGAGATAGATGGGGTCCCTAGCCGGTTGCCAAAGACTCTGTCTTTTCCAGGGACTTGTATAGAGTAAAATCACGGGGTGAGACGGGTTTAAGGTGGGGAAAACTGGGAACTCACAAGGCAGAAGTTGGGACAGAACTATGGTTAGCCAATAAGCTTAATAGTTCAGGCAAAATTGGTTACATTAGGGACAAATGGGGAAGCCAGTCATTCTTAGAGAGCAGTGATTCTTCCCTGGATGGTTGGAATGATGACTCCAGACTTCCTCAGGGTGGTAGGGAATTAATTAGAACATCAATCCTTAGAATATGGGTACATTTGTTTGATCTTTTGTCTTAAGGCCTGGCCCATAGCAGTAGATGTCTGTTCTCCACACAGTTACAAGGCTGTCTGCACTGGCTCCTTTGAGGACCTAGCCCTGCCTCACTGCCTGTAATATTTCAAACTAACTCAGCTGCCTGCAACAATGTCTCTACTTTTTATTCTACTCACAATTTTTATATCCCGATGTCATGAAGTCTCAATTCACTGCTACGCATCTAGTTGGGTTTGTTTGTTTGTTTTCATTGGTTAAGCTGCTTTTCTTTAAAACCAGGTTTTGTCTCACTAATACCAAAAAATGGCAAGAATGGTGGGATAAGTATGTTTTAAATGAGAGGTTTTACTTGGTGGAGATTTAATGGCAATACATCGTCTATTTTAGTAAATATTTTTATAAAATTTAAACAGTCACTGTATATCTTGATGGGCTGGATTTCTGCACCCTCCTGCATGGAAACTAGTTTCTACCTCTAACTCTAGCAGATGCAAGGCTCCTTTCTAAGCTCCCACCACCATCACTGTGCTACCAGAGTCTGGCGCTTGTGCTACAGGTGTCTTTGGTCCCAAAGCTTTGGGGTACACCTTATTCTCAGTCTGTTCATTCTTTGGACCTCTGCGGGAGACAGTCTCAACACTTTCCACACAAGGAGTGTATGTTTGGTTTTAGGACTTAGTGAATCTATTTGATTCCATTAGTGGTATCAATTAATGATATTAATAAATGTGTTGAAAATTATGTGTTTTAAAATATATTTTGTCAATTGGATTTGGAGTATAAGTTGAATAAACAGGAAAAAGAGTCAAAATGTATATTAATACTAAACTATTATTCTGTCTCATATATTATCAAAGATAAACTACTTATATTGTGAAGACTACCCATACACAGTGTTGAATATTGACTTGTACATTTCCAAATTGCCATGATGTATGTACTTCCATGATGGAGAGTGTCAACTTCCCACATGATGCACTGATACAGAGCAAGGAAAGACTGGTCCTTAAAAGTTAGTCTAGTGCTGTGTTGTTGCTTGAGAAAAGTCAGTTCTTCTCGACCTGCACCAGAATAGCAGTCACCTACAGAAAGTGGAGCCTTTTGCTGACTCAGAATGCAAGATAAGGAAGCAGTAACAGCTAACTGACTGCAAGTTTAACAGTCATTGGCCAGTGTTTGTTCTGAGTTTTTTACCTGTGCATGTCAGTGTTCTTCATGTTCTTTCATGCCTTAGCAACTGCAGTATCCTAAGTTTACAGATGGGGTACCTCACCACAAGTAATTAGCTTACAAGTACACAGTTAGTAAATGGTAGAAAACAAATTCAACCTATGTACATGATTTCAGTGTCTGTATACTGAAGAACTGCCTTATCCTAACATGACTCTAGGTCCTCTATAAACATTAGAACAGGTTAAAAGGCTATATTTTTATATTATGGTAGAAATACGTAATACCCACATGTGTAGGATGTCTTTTTACTGTTGTGTCTTTTCAATACAGCTTTTTCATACTCTAGTACCTAAGACTGATAGACATTGCAAATAAATTCTAGTTTTAGACTAACAGCAGTTGCTTCCTCTAGAATTCTCTTCTAGTTAGTGAGTCCTAAAGTAATTTCTCAACTGTCGAAAGGCAAGTAACTTATGCAAAATGAACTTAAAAAACAACAGTTTTCTACCTTTATTAACAATTTGCAATAGGATGAATAAAATGAAATCATAGATAATAATATTTTCCATTATTCATATTGAAAATCATTTAGCAAACAGAAAACATATAAAATTTGTCAAAACTAGTAGTTTTCTTCATGAAGCTAAGCTAGTTAACTTTTCTGTAATTATGATTAACTTAACTCCACTAATTACAAAATAAAATAAAATGATTAAAACTTTAAAATGTATAATTTAAAAGTTTGTCATGTATTTATAACTGCAAATCATAAATAAAATTCATTCTAATTGCAGGTTTCAAGTGTATAGAATGACAGTAAGAGGAGTAGCTGTCTCACAGGATTTTTGCAAAAATTACATGAAATTATCCAAGCAGGGTGCTTAGTGTACTTCTTGCCACATAAGTACTTCCAGTATTAATGATTGCTGTAAAAATGTTATTTTCTATGTAATATTGTCACTTTTCTGAACAACTTTGTCACAGATTTAGAGCTTCCCATGACAAAGTTGGTGTTCTGTGTCTGATCAAAAGTAGCAAATATGTGTGGCCAGCGTTTGTAAATCTTATCAAAGCTCATTTTCATTAACTTTTCTAGGAGAGAGATTATTTTATAGTTGGCCAAAAGAGTTCACAGTTAAGATGAAGTTGAGAAATACATGCACTTCCATTTGTGCTACCCACCAATTTGCAATTTGTGGAAAATACTTGGAACATCTATTGAATTTGTAGATTACTTATATATGCTTTTTTTTCACAGAAAGACAAATATCCCAAATCCCTATCTCACAAACTATTAAAGAAATAATTTTACAATATCATATTTAATTACAGTGACTTCACTTAAAAATACAATTATTTACTGAGAACAAAACAGGCCTTGTTATGTAAATAGAATTTTTTTTTGTCTTTTTCCTTTTTATTGGTTTTTAAAATATATATTTTTATGTTTTAATTTAAAATTTTTTTTAGCTTACATTTTATAATTCAAATAATATGTTAGTATGGTGCATGTAATTATTAAGGAATGTATATAATCATTGAGAGTGTCTCTCCAAAATTCTTTTCCTGATGAAGAGTTTTACATTCAAATGTTTTAGAGGCCACCCTGGACTATGATACTTGTGGTCACTAAGGAGCTAAATGGGTGACATAAATAGAACATCTTAATTCTCTTAGTTCCATTTATATTATTATATAGGGTATGGATGTAATCTTGTTTATTGACAGCTAATCTCTGCGAGGTGTAAATGGAAATGCAAACTACCACAATGTCACATGTTTTCACCAGTAATTTGCTGTAAAGGATTTGTTTGCTCTTCCTTTAAATCACCCTTCCCAATTAATTTTACCTGCTTACAGATTCACATGTAAACATATTGATCATTCAAAATGCTTTATTTTAGTTTGTTGCCACACCTATTAATTATAATTATTTGTAAAACTACATTTGCTTAAATAATAATATGCAAGAACATCATTTGATAAGGTGGTGAAATGTGTCTATTCATTTTGCATTAATTCAGTTACCTATTTATGAGTCAACTTTATGGGCAGAGTCTGTGAATAATGTTTACAAATTTGTGTCATACATTTTAAGTCATTGCTGTAACATCACTTGGATCCCAAATTTATTCATTTTAACAATATAAAAAATACACAAGTAGAGCCAGGGATATAGCTCAGTGGCACAGTTCCTTCCTGGCAAGCACAAAATCTTGAGTTCAATTTCTAGTACAAAAAACCCCAAACAACAACAGCAAAAGTACAAGTAAATCATCAAGGGGAAAAGAAATGATGAAGTCTTTCTAAGGAAGTTGAAATTTATGTACAGTGTCATGTAATTATTTGTTTTAAGAGATTTAGAAGCATTTAAGGTATTAAAGTCTGTGATCTTGTTACTATTCATTTCCTAGTAACAAAATGAACATGTTTTATTTTCAGTATTTTTACTAAAAATTTAGAAATATAATGTAACGTAAAATATTGTAAAGAGGACAAATAGTAATTTTGCTCCCTAGAAATGATTTCTGGTAAGAAGCCATTAGGTACAGAACTAAGTAAGACTTCAAAACAATGATTTTTTTTTCAGTTGTTTTGAATCTTCAAAGACTAGTGTGTCCATAGCTCCAGTGTCTGTGGAAGTACGGACAGTATTAAGTCTCACTTAGTTTCAGTGATACAGCTGATTCTATTATGCCAAATTCTGAATTTTAATGCCAAGTGATTTTTAGCATTGTTTCAAGTAATGTTTTATTTACCTTCCAGATGTATCATAGAATTCGTCACTCAGAGTGCATTTACCGAGTAACTATGGAAAAGCTGTCCTATCACACTGTTTGCTCTGCGGAAGAGTGGCAAGGCCTCATGCATTTCACACTCCCTGCACGACTCTGCAAAGAAATTGAACTGTGAGTGCTTTGCTTTGTCAGTTTCTTTTATTTTTTTAATATTTAAAAAATATTATAGTTAAAATTGAATTTATATTTAAGTTGCAATTTATATTTATATTTAAGCCAGCTTAATCTTCAAGATCACCTAGAGAAAGCAACCCTTTAACTGACAGAAACCCAGTTAAGTGCAGCCTCTTAGAACAGTGAGCAAAGTTTGCTTTATACCTCAGTTCAAGAAAACAGCTAATGATTGTGTCATGGCAATCATTTTATAAGTATATCTTAAGTAGAGCCTCTGTGCCACCTGTTGCAGGCCCCTGAATCCTCATGACAACTGGAGAAGGACATGATTATGGTCTCCTACACATAGATGATAAACTGAAAATTAGAGAAATATAATAATGTGTTTGCGGGTTTATAGATAACACAGGTAGTAATGACAGAGAACCCTGGTAGGTCTGACCTCAGAGTTGGGTTCCAGAGCTGTTTGTAAGCTATGCTATCCTGCTCCACCGAAGAAGCAGCACATTTCTCACCTCGACATGGTCCAATTCAAGGTGCATTTGCTGAGCATTTTGGCACTGGGGAAATAAGGCTTATGCATTTCTCTTTTGGTGAATATTTACTGACTTAGATATGATACCAGACCTCAGGGGAGGCCTTTTTCTTGAAATGGTACAATTAAGTGGGAAAGAAACAAGTCTCAATAGCTTTGTTAGTTTCTTCAGCAACAGACTTTTAATCTCATTGAATTAAGGCAAAACAGGTTATAGAGCTAAAATCACAAGTATTATGATTATCAGTGCTGTTTATATGCCTCCCTTTTATCTTTGTTTGTAATTATCTATTTCTATGTATAGGATGCTATTTTCTTCTGCTTACTTCAGAAAACAAAAATTTTAACTTTATTTTGAAATGTTAACCTAAATGTTAATATTTTATTACCCTGTTGCATACTTTACACCATGTAATATTTAAATTCAAGATAGTTTTTAATATCAGATAATAAAATATCTTCATATAAATTTAAATTTCCAAATTAAATTCAGGTATTCAATGATAATTAATTCTGCTTTTACACTTTGTTTTCTATACTTAATATTTGACTTATTAGTGCTAAGATAATTTGTATGCCCATGAATGCAGAGTAACATTAGTTATCTATGTGAAAATCTTCAGAAATGACCTATCCAGTACGTACCTTATAATTCAAAATATAGTACTTCATCATATTGTTTATTCTAAATAAATGCTAACAACTATATTATTAAAGAACAATCATTAACATAATAACTTTATGTACTATATGAATTTATGGATTCTTATTTCAGTTTAAATAAGAGACAGAAAATTTTCAACTTTAAAACCTAACCGCATAAGACTTCTCCCCTTATCTGTGAGTTGTGTAATATATATGTAGTGTTCACATATAAATTTGATACTTATTACTCTGACAACAAATGAAGCATTTTTTCTCAGATTATTTAATATAAAATTAAACAGTGACTTACTAAAATTCTTGAAGAAATGCGCGCAGTATCCTAAAAACCTTTCAGAACCAGACAGATGAAATTAAGGATGACAATGAGTCCAGAGTCTTCTTAGTCTCTTTATAAACAAAAATTTAAATGATATTCTCTACTTATTATGTTTTTTCCTAATTGCATTTAGTAATAAACTCTCTTTTAATTTCAGATTCCACTTTGACATTGGTCCTTTTGAAAACATGTGGCCTGGAATTTTTGTACATATGGTTCATCAGTCCTGTGGGCCATTCTGGTATGAATGACCTAATTTATTTTTTAAACTATTAAGCGGTATGATTGCTTCCTCCTACTGTTTATTTGTCTTCCCGCTTTCTTGTTTATAATTATCTTAATATATGACATGGGCATGTTTTTTTCTGAATATTCAAATAAAAATGGGTTGAGATCTTTGAACAAATCTATGGCCTTCTCAGCTTTTCCTTAGCTGCTGAGTCCTCTAGCAGCTGATTGTAACCTAGGTAAAAATCCTGCAGCTGGGAGGGCTGTCACAGAAACAGGGTAGACCGTGAGGCTGAAGGAGGCAGGATTTAACGTACTGAATAGAATTATATGCTTTTAAGTGTGGCTTGAATATTGTACAAGTTTGTCATCAAGTTTCAGTTTACATGTATGTTAGATTAGGTGTAAAAGAAAGAGGTCTTCTAATTACAGCATGATACTTTGTCATAATTATAGCCTCACTCAGTGCAAATATTTTTCCACCTACCTTGTCCTGTCCTAGAGGCCTTTGTGATGTAAAATTTTATCTTTTTCAGTTTAAACACACAAACTTCAAATGAAAGGAATGATCCCCTTCACAGATTTAGAAATTAAGTGCCTCAAAGAGTGCTTAGGTTTTCTAGAATTACCTTGTCACTTTGTCACATCTCTCAGAATCTGTTTCTTCTCTTCTATTTGTGCTTTTTAATAAACCAACTTTTGAAAAGGGTGCACACAGGATAACTGCCTCCATTCTTTTGTAGATATTAGTTGAGCATGTGATCAGCCAGAATTCTTAAAACGCTATACTATTACATTAAGGATGTTTGAAAGTTGTCAATGGAGGAAAACAAATTTTATGAGCTCTTCATCTCCCTAGTATTTCATGGAGTAATAGACTGATGTTCTTTTGTTTTAAACTGCTTAAATATATTTTGAGAAATGGTAGGTCTTCAAATAAGAAAATATACATGGCGATATATTATATACACATAAAATAAAAAACAATGATAGCATATATAAAAATGTATATATAGTTTTTTTCATATATTATATCAGTATTTCGATAAGGCCATTTGCAACTTAATAATCTGAAAATAGCAAAATACCTTAAATTAACTTTGAAAGAATAATCAGTAATTTGGAAAAGTATCATTCTTACAAAGGAAAATAGTTATCACGTTAAATACATTATTATCAATATTTTCTTTTTTATTTTAAAGGCACTAAAAGAAAAAAAACAGAAAAGATATGTTTTTAAAACAAACTGATAGGAAATTCATAATAATCACTCTATTACATATTGTTGTCTTCAAAATAGGAACTCAGATTGCAAGATACAAGCATGCAAAACAGATCAGATAATATAAGCAATCACAGTTTCTTTCCCTAAACAGGATCAATAGTGCAGTATCTTAGCTATCATATATATATATATATATATATATATATATATATATATATATATGATAGCTATATATATATATTCTCCTTCCTTCTTTTCTCTTTTTGCTCATCCCAGTTGTTCTTTCCTTTTGAGTGGTTCTATTACTTTCACAATATGTTATACCTTTTTTGATCTTATTTAATCTTTCAGTCTCTTACACGAGGAAGACAATCTTATATTTACACATACGAGACTGATTTATTTCACTTATGAATGTGGTCTCCACTTGCATCCATTTACCTATAAAAGCCTCTGGTTTATCCTTTTTTATAATGCGTAGCACTCTATTGTATAAAGATAACACATTTTTTAATCCATTCCTTAGTTGATGGGCATTTGGTTTGTTTCTAAGATATGGCTATTACAAATTGTGCTGCTATAAACATGGGTACACCATGTATCACTATGGTATAATGTTTTTAATTCTTCTGGGAAAATACCCAGAGGGGGAATAGCTAGGTCGAGTGGGGCCTCTAATTCTAGTGTTTTGAGGAATCTTCACACTGATTCCCACAGTGGTTGCAGCAGTCTACACTTGCACCAACAGTGGAAAAGGGTTCCTTTTCCCCCACAGCCCTGCCAGCTTTTGTTGGTTGATTTCTTGATGACAGCCTTTTTTTTTTCTGGAGTGAGGTAGAATCTTTGTGTTGTTTTAATTTGCATTTCTTAAATGACCAATGGCATTGAACATTTTTTTCATATATTTATTTGAAAATTGTATTTCTTCATCTGAGATGCAGATGCCCATTTTTGGATTGGGTCTTTAAATTTGGGGGGCCTGTAATTATTTATATGTTCTAAATATAAATCCTTTGTCCAAGGGACAATTGACTAACATTTTTTTCCAAATTCATGAATTTTTCTTTTTTGCTTTGTTGATAATTTCTTTCTTACATGCAAAAACATTTTAATAAGAAATCCCAGGTGTTCATTCTGTGAAGTGTTTCCTGTACAGTTTCGTTTTTATTCATGAACTATCTGCCTACTTCTGTGTCTTCAAGATTTCTACCTAATTTGTTTTCCAGCAGATTTAGTGTTTTAGTTCTAATATCAAGATCTTTGATCCATTTTGACTTTAGTACATGTTGATCAAATTTGTGCCCACATGCTAGTATGCACAAAGACTTTCCATTCACCCCTGTCAAATATTCTCTTAGATATGGGTCTGTTTTAGTGTTTGATGTATGGAAAGCCAGTTTTTCCAGCATCATCTATTAAAGAGTTTGTCTTTCTTTCAGGCCCCTTTCTCAAAGATAGGATGACTGAGTGTGTTTGTAGTTGTGGCTGTACTAATCTGTTCCACTGATCATCAAGACTGTGTGCATGCGTGCATGTGTGGGTGTGTCTGTCTGTGTGTGTGTGTGTGTGTGTGTGTGTGTGTGTGTGTGTACCAGTACTGTGCTGATTTTATCACAGTAGCTTTGAAGTACACTTTCAAGTCAAGGATTGTGTGGCTTCCTACCTTGCTTTTTTCTTTTTTTGCACAGGGTTGCCTTTGTTATTCTAGGTCTCTTCCGGTTCCAAATGAATTTTAGGAGTAACTTCTCTATAGATCTCTTAAGTATGCTAATGATATTTTGATAAGAATTGCATTAAATCTTAACAGCAATTTTGTGAGTATGGCCATTTTCACAATGCTTAGTCTTCCTGTCTGGGAACAAATGATGAGTTTCCATTTTCTAAAATCATCTTTGATTTTTTTTCAGAGTACTGTAATTTTTAATGTATTAATTGTTTACTTCGTTAGAGTGATACCTAAGCATTTCTCTCTTTTGGGGTACTACTGTGAAGGATGTGATTTCTCCTATTTCTCAGTATGTTTGTTTGTGTACAGGAATGCTGTTGATGTTTAAGTGTTGACTTTGTGTCCAGCTATATTACTGAATTTGGTTATTAGATGTAGAAATCTTTCAGTGGAGTTTTTGGGGTGTTCTATGCAGAATATCATGTCATCTGAAAATAATGATAATCTAACTTCTTCCTTTCCTATCCTTATTCCTTTTATTTTTCTCTGTTGTCTAATTGTTCTGGCTAATATTTGCAGAACTGTACTCAATAGAAGTGTTGGTAATTGACATCCTTGTTTTGTTTCTGATTTTAGGTTGTCATCTTTCAGTTTTGGTCCATTTAGTAAGATGTTGACTGTTGGTTTATCATATATGCGTTTTTCAGATTAAGGTAAAGATTATCTATTCCAATTTGCTGTAGGATTTTTGTCATGAATGAGTGACAGAATTTCAAAAGCTTTGTTGCATCTATTGAGATGATCATGTAATTCTTGTCTTTGGCTCTGTTGGTACATGGTGTATTACATCTATTGAATGGCATATGTTGAACCATCCCTGCATTCCTAGAAAGAATATTCTGCTTTTTTGTGGGTTCCTATTGCATGAAGTATTGTTTTTCATCCTTTGACTTTAAAGCTGTGAATTTCCTTTGACTTTCTTGTTTATAGCATATTGCTGGATTTTGTTTCTTGATCCATTCTGCCAGCCTGTTTCTTTTAATTGGTGAACTGAGGTCATTCACATTAATGGTTGTAACTGATACAGATTGGCTTATTTATGTCATGTTATCATTCAGCTGTTGGTTCTTTACTTTTCCCCTCTGTGTAATTGTTGCCCTTGCTTGGTGGTTTCTTTTTGTTGCTGTTTGTAGTCATATTTATTTCTGTATACAATTTTTTTCAGTACTGTTTTTAGGGTTGGTTTGGTGGTCATGAAGTTCTCTAGTTGTTATTTGTGTGGAAGTATCTTATTTTTCCAAAAATTGCAAAAGGTAGTTTTGCAAGGTACATCAGCCTGGATCGAAAGTTGTTTTCTTTTAGGACTTGAAATACTTCACTCCAAGCTCTTCTTGACTTGATTGTTTGCTTTGAGAAGTCTACTGTGATTCTTAGAAGCTTTCCTAAATAGCTACCTGTTTATTTTCCCTGATAGTTTTTAATATTATGTTCTTGTGCTGCATTTCTGGGATCTTACTTATTATATGTGTCAATGTGTTTTGGTTACGAGTAATTGTTGTTTGTATGCCTCACTTATCTGCATGCCAGTTTATTTTCCCATACATGGGAAATTTTCTGCTATTACTTCTCTAAAGAGTCCTTTTTCATCATCTGTGTTGAGTTCTTTTTTATTTACATCTATCAACTTATATTATTTTTCTTTGCACCATCTTGCAACTGTTGAATTGTTATTTCCTGGTTCCTTGTTATTTTTAAAAAAATCTTTCCTTTTCTGGTAACTGCAATCTTCAAGGTCTGAAAGTCTATCTTCACATTCATTCAAGTGGTTTTGCCAGCTTTAGATGAAATTTTTGATTTCCTGAATATTACATTGAATCTGTTTTATGTATTCTAGTTCTTATATTGTTCATTCAAGGTTTCCATCATTTTTCAATGCTCTTCTTTTTTTTAATCTATGTCTTTTTTAGATATGCTCAGCATTTCTTTCATTATGTTTGTCACTTCTTGTTTTACTTGGGAGATTATTTGTAATCCAATTTCCTTCACAGATTTATGAAGTTCTTTCTTTATTTCACTTGCTACTATTTCAGAAATTTCAGGGGTGTGACTTTCACTTTATTCTTTGTTCATGTCTCCTAGATTTGTTTGGGATAGGCTGGAGATTTGACATGGCATTTTGCTCCTTCATTTTGTCATTTTCTTGTATTCCTCTGGAGCCCTCAAGTGCCAAGTCCCAGTTGCTTCCTGTGTTGAATTTGGCTGACCATCCAGGAGAGGGTCTCCCCAGTTGGGTAGGCTTTGCTGGACAGGCCTTTCCCAGACTTGGGTGGCTCTCTAATACTGTTTGGATGACTGAGGTTTCTGGGTATGCCTTTCTTGGGACCCACACAGCACACCGAGGCTCCCTAGCTGGCTGGCACTGCTGGTTGTTTTCCTCACCGCACACCAATTATCATATTTATAAGTGTATATAATCTAAATATGTTGTTTATGTATATGTATATAATCTAAATAAGTTCAAAATGTCAGGTTGTATCCTTTGAGCACTGTGAGGCATAGGAAGAAATGCTTACAAATACAGTGTGATGATCGGTGACAGCTTGCTGATTGTGGTATGGATCTCGGGAGGAAGAGTTAACATATTAGAATAGAAACTATACAAGAGTGTCCATTTTATTAGCTCTGTCTGATCAGAGAAGGAGAAAAGTAGCAAGTGAGTTTGCAGGACTCCTAAGTTCAAGGTGGGAATCTTTATACCTGGGGTTGCAGAGGGAGCAAGACGCAGAGCGAGAGGGCGCTCCTGGGTGGAGTGCTCCTCTGCCGGAGTTGGTCATAACAGTTTCCTCTCTATACAGTTTTGACCTTGAAAAGCTGTGCCGCTTTATTATGTCTGTGAAGAAGAACTACCGGCGAGTGCCGTACCACAACTGGAAGCATGCAGTCACGGTGGCACACTGCATGTACGCCATCCTGAAGAACAACCACAGCCTGTTCACTGAGCTTGAGGTGGGTGTGCAAGCCTGCCCCCTGGGTTGTGCAAGCTCAGTAGAGCAAATGTACAACATGGACTCGTGACATGTTATTCCAGGACAAATTTGGAGTTAGTAAATTAGTAGATATACATTTAAAAAAAAATCAGTACCCAAACATTTAGCATAGTCTGTGTTTCAAGAAATGTAAATACAGAAACTTGAACTTCACCAAAGTATCTCTGAAGGAAATACTATTTTTTAAATATTTGTTGCTAATTAAAGAATAAATATTCTAGGAAGTTATAAGCAGTAAGTTTGTCTTGTTGCTCATGTGCTCTATATAGCGGAGAAATATCCTGCTGATTTGAGAATCCGGGATATTAAATACAATTAAGACATAAATGCTTTGTTGTCTCCTGTAGCATAAAGATACAGGTTTGTGGTATTTTAACTGTTTACCTTACATAGCAGAGGTGATTGTACTGTATATGCAAAGTTTTGAAAAATCACAGCTTGAAGATCTGGAGTCTCCCTCATCCTTTCAGCCACCACAGCCGAACATCCTTACTTGAAAGCCCAGCCAGATGCTGAGTGATAGGGAAATCTGTGCCCCAAATTGTACTAACCTCATATGTAGATAACCCAAATAAGGATGCCCCTGGGACCCCACTGGTGCTGTGATGCCTACTAGAACACTCCATACCCTTCTCCTTCTTTGATAAAATGAGACAGTACTTCAGGAAGCATTTGGCTGTGCAGAGAGGGGGGCTTTCTCCTCTGAGGTAAATCAATTATACTTTAAACTTGCTCCCAGTACTCTGGAGAGCCATCCTGTCATTTTTATACTGTTTCAGACCAGGTTCACAATCTGAGCAGATATCTTAGAAGTAAAAAGAAAAATACTCAAAAGCATTACTAATTTTGGTTGGTTTGTTGGCTGTTTGGTTGGTTTTAAAATAATATTTAGGTCAGATGCAGTAGCACATGCCTATAAATCCAACTTCAGAAACTGAGGCAGGAGGATCAGAAGTTTGTGGTAAAATCTAGGAAACTTACCAAAACCTTGTCTTAAGATAAAATAAATAGTTGTAGGGATATACCTCAGTGGTAAAGTGCTTTCTAGCATGGATTCAATCATTATTGTTAGTTGAAGAGCAAAATTTAGCCTAGTAAGTATCTTTAGCCTAATAAATATTATCACTTTCACACAAGATCTAGATGAAATATGTTCTTTTTCCATGTAAGTTTGTCTGAACGATTTTCTATTCCATTGAACCCTATTTATAGGTCTTTTGGCATTCTCTCCGTTTAATTACTTTCAAGAAAGTAATTTCATTGTCTCTTTGCCATGAGATAACTAATAATCTTACAAGCTTTATAAATTGTACTTTCAAATACAGTCATGTTGAAATTTTGTTCAAAAAACTAAACATTTAAAAATAAATGAGAATGTGTTAATAACATGCTAAATTTGTAAATCACTTCTGGAGTTACATTTCCTCCCCCAAAACTGAAGTCTTTTTGGCTAAAAACAATCACAAAATGTCAAATGTAAATATTTAAAACATGCTTTATGGAGGATCTTTAATTTCAAAAAGAACTAATAGCAATTATTATTTGATCTTGTTGAAGAAGATTTTTAAAAATAATTATTTAAAAATTATTTTCAGACCTGTAAGTCTGGCATACCTTTTAACAAAGTTATTAAAATTAGGTCAATAAAAACAGAAACAATTGTAAAGATGAAGATAGCAATTTTAATCTCTTGTGCTAGATTTTAAAATCTTGAACGTTGTTACCATATATACCATACTGATGCAACAGCATAAAATATACAATCAATTCAAAATCAAAGTGATCCTAAGACTTAACTGGTTCAGTTAGTTAATACCCATCCCATGTGATTGGTGTCATGATATCACTTCAGGTAAAGTGTGCTGGTAACTGATCAGACTTCCTTTCTGAGTGGGTTGCAGGAGAAATCAATTCTGCCATATCAGGATACAGAAGAAGAAGGGCATGTGGGAAAAAAATTCACGAAGGAGAATTTCTTCTGACTCCCTTGACCACATCCCTAGGGACTGTGTTACACACTTCCTGTCACTCCATCTCCACACCACTCCCCAAGATGGACACTTCCACTTCATTATATCCATCACCTGCTTCTTTGAGAACACACCTCTGTCTCCACCGTGGCACTTCCCTCTGAATCATTCCCATCTGAGCACAGGCATACTGTTACCACTCCATTGGGCTGTTCTCTCAGTCTGCTTCTTCACACAGCGGCCTCCCTGTTTCTCAGTTCTTCGTCACAGTACAGTTTACCTGAGTGGTGTACTGGCTCTCTCTCCAAATCTCCTCTTCCTTTCTTTCTGAATCCAAATCTGATCAGGCTTCTGTCCTCAACATCCCAGAGGATTTTCTGGTCTTTAATACCAGAACCTTGTAAGATGCTCACGTTTTCCTCTCTGTTCAGTGTCTTAACTTCCTTTGCAGCACACTGGGAACTGTTGGCTTTCATGGGAGCACATGGGATGCTCTTGCCTTATCTTGTTTGAGGATTCCTTAGCTGATTCCCTCCCTTTGCTCTGACTTTCTTAGAGTTGAAGTTCTTAAAGGCTCACCATTTAAGTCCTTCTGTCCTCAAACTGGGTTACCTCTCAAATCCTATGACATTACATGCCATTGTTACTTTTCTTCAGCTTAGACAGCCTTCCAAACTTCACTAGTCAACCGTCAACTGAAATCTCCACTGATCACCATTCCACCTGGACTCCTGCCTCCTCTCCTCACACTGCCTGCCACAGCTCTCCTGTGTCAGTGGATGGCAATCCTTGACTATTCACAGTCAGAAACCGTGAGACATGCTTGACTCTTTTCTCCTTGTTTCTCTTTAGAGCCAGACAGTCAAATGTTGACTCTGTCTGGAAAAAGACATTAATCACATTTTAGGAGCTTCCATTGTTATAAACATCCTTGTATGAATTTCTATTAATTTTTGCTCAATTACTGCAAAAGCCTTCTCCCCGGTCTCTGTTTTTGTCCTGCAATTTATTCTTAATAGGCTTGCCAGAATGACCATTTAAAGATACTGGTTAGACTCTGACACCTCTGATGAAATTGTTGTGATCATTTCTTGATCACTACGACTTGTGAAGCCCTTGTAACTACTGCCTGCCCTGGGCATACCCATGGTACCATCTTGCCCTCTCTCATTCTGCTGTCCTGTACCCTGCTTACCATGCCCTTCTCTGATACCGTCTTTCCTCCCTCTCACATCTTGGCCCACATCTAACTTTCCTGAGGGTTCTGTCCTGACCACTTTATTTAGTTGTTGCCCTCTTCCCTCAATCCCCTTTAACTCTCCCTTTATTTTCTATGCCATTTTACGTGCTATATGATTATTCTCCTAGTCCTTGTTTATAGTGGCAATTACATCAGTTGACTTTACCTCACCTAGATTTTTGAATGAAGAACTGAACCTGATCTGCCTCCCTGTGCAGATTTGCTTTATTTATAATTCTTTGGGACATTTGATACCTGCTGCATTTTCTATTTCTAGACTTGAACAGGAAAACTCAAGAATGATTCGACTATAAAGTTTATATGCAGAGACACCTGAAATTTCAAAGATTCTTAAGGTTATAGGAAATAATAGTGGCAGAAATTCCTGTGATTAGAATGTAAGCTGCAAGTTTCTTCATATTTCCTTTGTTTTGAATCTATCTATATTTCTCTTTAAGCGCAAAGGACTGCTAATTGCTTGCCTGTGTCATGACCTGGACCACAGAGGCTTTAGTAACTCCTATCTGCAGAAATTTGACCACCCTTTGGCAGCACTCTACTCCACCTCTACCATGGAGCAGCATCACTTCTCCCAGACAGTGTCCATCCTACAGGTGAGCCACTTGCCTTTGGGTAAACTGTACAATTTTGGTTGGCGGGTTCCTAGGCAATAGCAACCTTTTGTGAGAAAAGTTCATTTTTACAACTTGCTTTGAAAACAGGAGCTGCATTTTACTGCCATATTGTATATTTGTAGTCATAATTAAACAGTTGTGGGGATTAGAGTAAAGAAGTCTTTACAAAATGTTGAATACATACATTTATTGGAACCACATTTGGTTTTTATCATGTTGATGCTTCGTAGTACTCTAAGGCAAAGTTTATGTCTCATATTTTAATTATGTTTTTGTCATATTCTTGAGTCAAAACATGCCAAACTTTAAATCTTAAAATTTGATTGAAGATTTCAAGTGATTAAAGTCCTTTTATCTTGTTTTGTTTTATATTTTATTTCTTTTAAAATATTCGTAGTAGAAGCCAGGGATTTTAGGTCAGCAGCACCAACGTCTGCCTGGCAAGCACAGGGTCGTGGGTTCAATCCCTGGTGTGTGTGTGTGTGTATGTGTGTGTGTGTGTGTATTCATGGTGATTAATCTAGTTGATGACAGGTCTCAGTTCAATATAAAGATAATAATGCTCCCTTCTTTAGAATTTTTTTTCTCAAACTCACCAAACAAGGTGGCTATTATGTCATAAAACTTGAATCCCATCACTAAAAATTTCTAATTATTTCTTATTTCAAAGGAAGAGAAACTTTTGTAGGTCTTTTGATGATATGTCTAAGGAGACACTGACTTGAAAGCTCTTAATCTTTCCGTGTTGCACAGGGGCAGTCTAAGAGTGACTGGGTTTGGACAGACTGCTGAGTAATTGGTAGTACTGCATGCTCAAATCTTCTTAAAACCTAGAAAAACATACTCGTTTAGGTTTCAAGAAAGTAAATGGTCAAATTACTAATGTGCAGGTGCTATTTTGATTGTCTTCTGGATAACAGTGAAAGATATTTTAGATATAGAGCTAATTTAGTCATTTTCAAATGACTAAACATAGGCACATGGTAGCTGAACACTGCACTTGCTCGTGGGCTAGTTCCAACACTTAGAGCCATGTGCATTTATCATCTCCATTCATGTCTTTTCTATGAGATGTATGTTTGGGTAGTATATGCATGCATGTGAGATACACGAATGCATCAGAATTAAAGAAAGTTCAAAGATGTTTTTGTATACATGTATCTAAAGTGTGCTTTGGAAATAGAGGAACGTTTACAACTTTGGGAAAATTTAGTATCTACTTTGATCTCACTCCTTATTTGAAGGCATTTGTACTACTAGAAGGATAAATGCCAGAAATGACATAAAAATACTTAATATTAGTAATTAATTTAGTTAATATCCCATACCCTAAATGAATTCATTTATTTGACTATCATAACATTTCTAGCAGTGTAAACTAAGTGAATTTTAAAAGCTAAAATTAGTAATAATAACATTAGCAATGAAAATGGAGACAGGGAGTCTAGAGACAGCGGGAAGGAAAAGGGTTAAGAGAGAAAGGTAAATGCAAAAGATTTGAGATATATTACATATGTGAATACGAATGTAAACTTCATGCATTACAAATATCATGAATTCAATAAAATTTTAAAAACAAAAAACTATTTTAAATGTAATAGAATTAGTTTGAAGTAGGCCAGAATTGCAAAATATATTGTCACTAGATTGAAAAAAAATAACCATATAAAATAGTTACAACAGAGTCAGGTGAGCATGAAGAGGGTCCAGGAGAAGACCTGTCGTAGTTGTCATCAAGCATGGAAGCTTCAGGATGTTTTGTTTCATTTCTGCAAATTCTCCGCAAATTTGGGGATGTAGATTGCATATGAGGCATTCCTAAAATGACCGGGGCAGAATAATAGGGAATCATAGCAGTAAATTCAGTATGGATAGATTAGCCATTGGCTTCCTCAGAGTTATTGAAGAATCATTCAATTCTATATACTTTGGAATGAGTTCCAGTCGCTGGTGAGATGACAATAAGGACACATTTGTCCTGTTTAAAGAAAGGTAAAGTACCAAAACCAGTACAAGGTAGGAGGCTGGGAGGAAGCTCTGGGCATTGTTGCACCAAGAGCTTAAAGATAATTTGCAAATGGAATTGGTTTAAAACCTCCCATGGGAGCTGTGGCAGGGAGAAGTGCACCAAGGTATAAATGACCTGATCCACATGAGCAAGAGTATTTAGGAAACCCCTCCTTCCTTTTCTGAAAATATTTGTATCCTCAGCTGTTTTGCATTTATGCCAATGATATTTCACTAAGTGTTTGCAGATTCCTCTGAAGTTCTGTTCCGGAACAAACCTGTTTATTAAGCACTTCCTGTTTACCAACCCCTATTTAGGCTCTAGTAGGAAGAAAGAGATGAGCAAAACAAATGCAAGCCTCTGCCCTCTTGTAGCACATAGTCTGGAGTCAGGAAATCCCTGCCAGCCAGGTAGCTCCACCCTTCTGTGGATCTGGCTGATCTCTGTTGTTCATACTCATGCCTGAAAGACTGTCAGACTTGTGCTTCTTAAGCCCAGTTCTCACGCAGACTTCTGTGTCCAGCGACTTGAACTCTGCTTTCAGTATGGCCAATGTTGTGCTCATTACTTTTTCTTTTTTTTTTTTTTTTTTTTTTAATTTTATTTAAAGAGAGAGAGAGAGAAAAAAAAACAAAACAAAAAAGGTACAAGTAATACAAAATTTCAAAAAAAAACAGTAAGAAATCACTAGTCAATAGATTACATATTATCATCTTAGAAACAGTTGTTCAAGTTACAAAATTAAAGCATACAAAGTGGACATTCAAACAGTGAGACTGCAAAGAGTTCTGTTCAATGATCTAACAAAAACTTAGAAATATCGTCATCTGTCTTATACACTTAAATATATGTGCAGTTATATCCTTTAGAGCACTCTTTTTCCCTCTCTTTTTTACAATAACAATTATATATTTTGGGTTTTATTACTCCCATAGTTCTTAATACTTTTTATGAAGAGAATAAAACCAAATGTGACAAAACAAAACAGAGTCAGTCAAAACAAGGATAGACATAATACATGTTGTAAAAGCAGAATACAAAGTGATCAACAATGGTTACCATAATGCCTCTTGCTATCTTAAAAAGAATTGCCTGTATCATCAGGTATAATAAAATTGAACAAAACAATACAGAACACAACCAATAAAACCAAAACATTGGAGACATTACAGGACTTCAAAAGAAAATAATAGTCAAACCATAATTGGCATCACAGTGAATCTTATTGTCTTCAAAGTAGTTGCCTATACTCTCAAACTTGATACTATCAAATAAAACAGAATAGAGTAAAATCAGTCAAAACAAGATGGTGAGAGCAATACAGGGCTTCAAATCAAGTTAATAGGAAATCAAAATGATTACTATAATATATCCTGCTTTTTAAAGTGCTTTTCCTTAATTAAAAAAAATTTTAAAAGGGGAGATTGAGATAAAAGAGGATATAACAACAACAACACATGTCATAACAGAACAATTTAAGCAACATAGTGTTTCACCACAAGATAACCCGACATAACAGTAGTTACCATGGTTTCTCTTTCCTTGAAATATTTGAGTATAACTTCGTATACTATAGCATCAAACATATCAAGACAGTGTAAAACCATTTAAGAGAATGAAAGTATTACAGGGTATTTAGAACCAACTAACAGAAAACGAACAATAGTTTCTATATTATCTCCTTGTCTATAAAAATTTTTGTTTATACTATCACATATAGTGAAATCCACTAAGATACAACATGATAAAACCGATGGAGACAGAAGAACAAAAGCTTGATCAGACTTCAAAACAAGATGATATTAAATCAGCACTAGTTATTTTGATGTCTTGTTTTCTTCAAAATAGCTGTTCATACCATCACAGACAACAAAATCAAACAACCCAGAATAAAACCATTCCAATTAATGAATGAAAACATTAAAGGCTTCAAAGCAATATAATGGGGAATCATGATTACTACATACTTTTATGTATTCTTACCATTTCTTACACTAGGGAAACTATTCGGTATTCATACATGTGAGTTTGATTTATTTTGTTTCTGAGTATGGTCTCAAGCTGCGCCCATTTATTTATAAATATCTACATGTGATCATTCTTTATAGCTGAGTAATACTCCATTGTATAAAAATGCCACAACTTTTTTTATCCATTCCTCAGTTGATGGCCACTTAGGTTGTTTCCAAGATCTGGCTATTACAAGTTGTGCTGCTATAAACATGGGTACACATATATCACTGTGGTATGTGTTAGGTCTGAGAAGAAGGGGGAGAGGAGAGAGAAGAGGGGTTCGAGGAAGAGGTGGAGTGGAGTGAACGGCCGTGAAAGTAGTGGGCAGCGGTGGCTTTATTTCGGGAATGCGGGGAGAGGCCCCCCCGCCGGCCCGGGCGCAGCCTCTCCACTGCACCCGGGGCCGTGGTTATCCCGGGGAGAGGAGACTGGCGCACTGGCTGCTGGAATCTGGCGATCTCTCTTTCTGGCGATCTCTCTTTTTGGCGATCTCTCTCGGACACGTGGCGTGGGGGAATATAAATAGCCTAAGCTTAGGGCAGTGCCCTAAGGCCATTAGAGATGTACAGGTATTTCATTGGCGCACAGGTTCTTAGGGATGGAGGTATAGGGTTACAGTCAAGTCTATAGGGGGTGGGGGGGAGGCAGGACTTTTCTAACTTGGCTGCAGCTTTTCCTGGTTATAGTGTCCGTTCTGGGCCAGCAACTCTTTCAGTATGATGCTTTCAGTTCTTGGAATATGACCAGAAGTGGAATAGCTAGAACAAATGGGACTTCCAATCCCAGCTTTTTGAGAAATCTCCAGACTGACCTCCACAATGGTCGCACCAGTCTGCACTCCCACCAACAGTGCAGGAGAGTTCCTTTTTCCCCACAGCCTCTCCAGCATTATGTTTTCCTGAATACTTTTCTCATTTATATCTCCTGTGGTGGCAACTCGTCACCCAACCCTAAAGGC